CTCACTATTTTATTTCCCCCTCCACGTGATCCTCTGCCTGCCCCCCTTTGTTTCCCCCTACGGCGCTTCGCATGCTCCCCACTCCAGGCGCCTTCACCCCTGTAGCCCGCCGCCACGAACGCTGATCCGCATTCGCCTGCGCGTCCCCACGTCTACATACGTCGCAGAGATGTTGCCCAAAAGAAGGAAGCACAAAAAAAGGATACACAAAAAAAGGATGCACAAAAAAGGGATGCACAAAAAAGGGATGCACAAAAAAAGGATGCACAAAAAAAGGATGCACAAAAAAAGGATGCACAAAAAAAACACACAGCCACGACCACATAGAATCGTCAAATGTGTCACTTCATCCTAGGAGAATACCTTTTTTGCGATGGCAGCGCGGGGGTACAACGACCATGTTAACGCAGTTGATTAAACGGGACCATGTAGAGATGGCATGCGAAGTGTTCGCGTTGGGTTGGTCGGCGCATGGTATTGGAAGCTTAACGACGCTATAACGTGGTTTTTCCACTTTGTTCTTTTTCCACTTTGTTTTTTTCACTTTATCTTTTCTTCTCATTTCTTCCCTTCGTCCTTTTTTATTGCCCCCTTTCTTCTCGCTGGGTGACGCTCCAAAGGGTTGACCGGAACGAAATGGGAGTACCTCCGCCTGAAGGAACCGCATCCCAAGCGCATGCAAGAGGGGGAAAACAGGGCATGTCAAAGGGAGGAGCAGGAGGGCATGCAGAAATGCAGCGACCCACGAGTGTAACCACCCCCGCATGCAGCCACCCCCACCGGTGCCGCGTCGCATGGACCGACAACACGATCAAAAGTGGGTCGAACGGACATCCTACAGTGGGATGCTTCTCTCCCCTACACAGGAGGGATGTGTCCCATGTTGAGTCTCCCCAATTTGCTGAGGTTATTTTACGAATGACTCTGTAAGGTAGGGGTGCGTAGATCCCTCAGTTGGGTCTCTTCCTCTCAAGGACGACTTCATATGAGAATAGACCTGGACGTGACTTCTCCCGCATGGGGGTGTTCACTTGACAGGGGTGCCATTCTCTTGGCGTCCGCCGCAGCGTGTCGTCCGTCTACCACGTGGTGAAAGCAAAAGTGATGACGTGTGTGTGTTAGGGGGGCAGGGGTATGTAGGCGCGCAGACGTGCTGACGTGCAGACATGCACCCCTCCCCGCTTCCCAATTAAAGCAGAGTAGCGCCCCAAGGGGAATTTAAAAACGCCCAAACAAAGAGAAAAAATAATAAAAAAAATAATAAAATAATAAAATGAAAAAAATAAAAATACAAAAAAAAAATAAAATATCATAAAAAACACAAATGGGTAGGTGGATAAACCGATTGAAAGAGTAGCTAATGAAACGACTACACGTGGTGGTAGTGGCATGGGTGGACAAAAAACAAACCGTGCCCATTTTGCGAATGTGGATGATTGCGTGGTTGGGGGCTCTTCATCACGGTGACGTAATTTTAAGGCAGGTTCATATTTTATTTTTCCCTTTTAATGGGATGCACTGCCTCTTCGTCGTTTCGCTGCTTCCTCGTTTGGTTTCTTCGCATCCCCGCTTATCCCCTCGCATCTGCGGATACACCTACAGAGACCACGGCGCACAACACACGGCGCTAGATGTGGCCCATGACGCGAGGGTGCTTCCACTGGTTGTACACGAGGCACAGGGCAATGCAGAGGGAGACAACCCCGATGACGACGTATAGCACTCCGAATGATCTGGACTTCTCGTTTACGAAGACGGAGCCCTCTGCTATGACGAGATATTTCTTCCCATGGAATCCCTTCACGGGGAAATTGTTTTTTATCTTGACATAGATTGGCAAAGCGAGCTCCTCATTCAGTCTGGCGTACCTTTTTCGAAACTCGGAGAGTGCTGCCGTCTTCATCCAGACAATGAAATGAGAGTTCTCTACGCCGAACCCGTTTTTTTTGTTCATATTGAGGAGACTAACATATTTTTCCTTCATCAGCCAGAAGTCCACTTGTTCTTTATGCTCCTCCATTTCTTCTTCCGATGGATTCTTAAATCTAATTAGATCGCTGTACCAGGTGATTGCTTCTTTCGATTCGTCCATCTCGATCTCTTCGTTGTGTGTTTTGTCTCTGTATAAGGTAAACGTGTCGTTGAAGACGCTGCGTGCGACGAGGCCGCACGGGTGCAGCACCTTTCCTTCCCTGTTCTGAGCGATGGGGAAGCACTGCGAGAGGTGGTCTGGCCGGGTGTAGACGGTGCCCTGAAAGAGAGGAAGGTTTGGAAGGAGGGCAGATTCGTCAGAGGGGTGGAAGAGGTTATAAGGGCGCCATGAAGGCGTCTGTAGTGTGTCAAAAACACGCCGCTAGTGGGTCGCTACTCCGCCGCTAGTCAGCCGCTACATACCATCAACTGACTGTGCGATTTCGAAATGAGGTACTTCTTATGGTTTTGGTAAAAATTGTGCAGCTCGTAGTAGACGTAGGCGTGTTTGTGGAATGGCCTTTCGGGTCCATGGCAGAAGGCTTCGGTGACTTCTAACTGTATGGCTTCCGTGTCTGTGTCCTGCTCCCCGTAGGGAACTCTGCACTCCTTTCTCGTGGTAGACAAGGCAATGAACAGCAAACCCAAGATGATAAAAGTGACGGAGATACTCGTGTATGCTACGATCAATCCGATGGGGGTCCATGAACGTTGTTTTGAATTCAATTCTTGTTGTTTGAATTTTTCCAATAGGGATGTATTTTTTTTTTTTTTTTTTTTTTTTGATGGAGCGCCACTCTGTTGCCCAGGCTGGAGTGCAGTGGGCACACTCTTGGCTCACTGCAACCTTTTTTTTTTTTTTTTCTTGCGAGTTTTTCCAGGCCGGGTTGTCCCCTTTTGGGTTGTCCTCTCTTGTCTTGTCTAGGGTTATCGATGAGGACCAGGTACGGTGCCAAAGGGGGGGGACTCCCCCCATCGAGGCGACTTCCCCGATGGCAGGGACTTCCCTCCCCTTGGGCAGTACCCTTCTCTTCAAATGTTCCTCGACGGCGTCTTCATTCGTAACTCCGTTGATGCAGTTGAAATTTTCGTCCATATTAGGATTGTGGTGTTTTCTCTTCCCGTTCATGGGAGGGGGCCCACTGTGGGGATAACACCTGGGTGGTGTGTCTCCATCATACTGCATTGATGGGATTGGCTTGATTGGTCTGTCTGCCGGGGAGGCTTTCCCTTTTTTATCGATGTCTCTCTGGCTGAGAAATTGGCTCTGTTGAGGAGGTTCCTCCTCCTTCAGCGCGACTAATTTCGATTTTGTGTCTTTCCCTTTCTCATTGGTCCCATTTGGGAGGTTCATCATATGCAGTTGATCTGTCGAGTGGGGCAACTGTGACAGGAGTGGAGGGGGGGACAGTGGAAAGGAGAAGACTAGAGGGGATGTTTCCTTATTACGCCGTCGCTTCCTTCCAGTTGGTCTCTCTTCGGCTAGGTGTTAAGCTCGTCCTTTCGATTTGCCCCCCCGTAGCGAAAGGGTTTTTTTTTCCCACGTGAAGTTGCTTATCGGTGGGTACCCACGTACGCATGGGAGCATGTAGGTATACATACGTATATGCCTATGTATGTATTCGCTTTTCTGTTTTTTTTTTAGGGAAGACCCTGCTTCGGGGGCACATGGGTTACCCCTGAACAGGGTTGCGTTATGCGGGCGACGAATGGACGGGCTGGTTGGCGGCGTTGGGGTAGAATACCGTGCGGGTGGTTCGCCTCGCGTAAGGGGCGGGCGTACCTGTTGGACACGCGGTGAGCGAGAGAAGCGGCGTGACGTACTGGTTGCAGCCAGAGTTGGAAGATGTCACCGACTCTAAGGTCATGGCAGCCACTCTGAGCTCATCTCGCATTTCCTCAGCTCATGTGACCTCTCCTCATTTGCGCTGACAGCTCCCCCTCTGCTCGCTTCACTTTTACATGCACACCGCCTTTTCCTGTTCGCTTTACCCCATTTTGGTTTTCCCCTCTACAGACGCTTCGCTTGCACGCCTTTGGGTTGCTCGTTCGGAAGGGGAAAAAAAAATAAAAAAAAATAAAAAGAAATAAAAAAATAAAAGCAAATAAAACAGAAACAAGCACATGTATTGCACATGTATGTACACATGTATCCACGTACACACATACGTGCACGTTGCACCTGATTGTTTTCCCCTGACGGGGTGGCACGTGGGTCGTGACGTCAGAGCTCCAACACTTGGGTGTCTATACCCACTGGTCGCTTTTTCCATTCGCAAAGTTCGTCCCCTATCAGTGGTGAACTCCTTTTTCCACACCGCACAATTGACGCACAGGTGGGACATAAATTGGTAAGCCGCTCAGAAAAAAAAAAAAAGGAAGCAAAATAAAACAAAATGCCTATAATGCGTGATGGAAAAAAAAAGCAGGAGGCATCCTCCAAAGGGGCCCTCACGCAAATGCAACATTAGCTGTCCTCTTCTTCTTTGTCCTAGAGGGGAGGCTCCCCTCACCCCTTAGATGAGTCAATCCTACCCAAAAGGAGGACACCCAACTGGGTTGGCGTAGTGTAGTCCATACCGTTATGTAACCGTAACCTCCCTCCCTCAGTTGATCGTCCCCAGGCAGAAAGGCAAGACATAGGGAACACACACCAATGGGATTTTGCGAGCCAAGTCACGTAGAAGCGTTGGCCCCTCATCGGTGGGAACAAAGAAGGGAAGAAGAATAGGGTAACGATCTGCCGCCTGAGGGAAACGACATAACCAAACTGCGAAGGGGCAAGCCGCGTGTTCCTTTGCTACGTCTTTTCCTCATTTTTTTTTTTTTTTTTTCCGATTTGGGTAATATGTCCACTGTGGACCATTTCGCCTGGCCGCAATTTGCCAAACGGGTTTGTTCAATTCGAGAGGGGAAAAAAAAAAAAGAAAAAAAAAGTTTCCTTTTTTAACGCGATAGACGCTTCATTTAGGAGGGGATAAACAGAGAAAGTTCCTTTTTGAACCTTGGCTGGTTCCTTTTTTTTTTTTTGCGCGATGCAGAATGCGGCGTGTGCGCCTGCACGGAGTGGTTGTCCACGCGTTCGATTCGGTCGCCGGGAGGAAGAAAGAAAAAAAAAGAAAAAAGATGAAAAAAATGGGGGGCCTCACTTCGCGCAGCACATGGGGTTGGCGGTTTAAGCGTGCGTAGGTACACACATGTAGCACAACACACATGGCACGCTGCGTTGCAGGCTGTGTTGCTCGCTCAAGCTGCCTCCCTCACTTGAGCAGAATGCCGTCGAATTTCGTCTGGAACCATTTCATCGCCTCGTCTTTCGTCACCTTGTGCGTCTTGGAGATGGTAGATCTCTTTCTCCTTCTCCTGGTGACTCTGTAACCTGGTCTCGACAGGTGGACGTAGAAGTCCATGCCATAAATACCAGTGGACGGATCATACTTTATCCCTAAGTCGATATGCTCCTGAATGCCAAAGCCGAAGTTGCCTGTCTCAGAAAAGTTCTTTCTCCTCAATTCATACTCCTTGACCTTGAGTCCCTTCTCCAGGATCTCCAACGCCTTCTTTCCTCTAACCGTTACAAAGCAGGAGATCTTTTCGTTTCTCCTGACACCAAAGGATCTGATGGTGAATCGGCATTTTCCGAAAATGGGTTTCTGCTCTGTCAGTTGTTCCAGCACTCTGGCGGCTCTCGTGAGCCTGTCTCCTGACTAAGGGAAGAAGAAAAGGGGGGGCGGTTAGTGGAGTTGTAAGGGAAAGCGGTGGAGAGGCGCAATGAAGAAGCGTTGTAAGGGAGAGCGGTGCAGAGGCGCAGTGAGAAGCGTTGTAAGGGAGAGCGGTGCAGAGGCGTTTTGAAGAAGCGTTGTAAGGGAGATCGGTGGAGAGGCGTTTTGAAGAAGCGTTGTGTAGAAGCATTGTGTAGAAGCGTCACCCCGAACCTTTGGCCTATCGCCTCATATCTTTGGCCGATCGCCCCGCATGTTTGGACAATCCGGCTTACCTCTCCCACGCAAATGTTCAGGACCAATTTGTTGACCTTAATCTCCCGCATGACATTATCTTCCTTTTTCTCCATTTTGAGTGGCTCGTGAAAGGGGGGCTTCCTTAAAGGGGGCCTCTTTAAAGGGGAAGGATTTTCGGAGGGTCCAGGCTGGTGAGGTCAGCTGGTTTGTGTGCCCTTCCTTTTGGAGCAGCAAAAAAAAGGAAAACTCCCAATTGGGGTACTCTATTGTCGTCGCTGTTGCGATTGAGGGAGAATAGCAAATCTGATGACACAACGACGCTTCCGTTGGTGACAGGTTCCGGTTGCTTCCTTCCCTCTGTGCGCGATCCGCAGCCGGGAGGTTCACTGTTTTGTTCACTTAGACGAGGGATACTCTTTCGCTTTTCGCCCCTCCGGAATGAAAGAAAAAAAAAAAAAAAAAAAAAAAGTGACCTTTATCGAATGCCCACGGGTGAGCCTCCTTTGGTTGATGTGGAAATGGAGGAAGAGAAAACGTGGCGGGGGAGAAGATAATAATAAAAGGAACAAAAGGAACAGAAGTGACGAAGCGTGTTTGTTTTTTTTTACTTTCTCGTGGCGAGAAGAGAACACGCTGCGTTGAGGGTTAACCCATTCTTTGTATTTTTATGTTTTTATGGTTTTTTTTTTTCTTTCTTCCCTCATCGGTCGAGCTTACCGTTTTTTTTCCTTTAATTAGCCCACGGAAGAAACGGGGTGAACAAGAGCAACACGGCACGATACGCCATCTGGCATCCGCGATGAATATACACCGTCGTGTGGACCCGCCGGGGCAGCTTCCCCCATAGGGATGAGGATATATGGGCATTATCAAACTTGGCGACCCGCCCCCGGGAAGAGAAAAAAAAACCTCACGTGTTAGTCCCTTCACCCACAGGGGAATATTATTCCCAGCGGTACCCCCGGCACTTAGTTAGGGAAGAGGAGGGATCCTGGATCGCCCCCCCTTCGTTACACATGGTGTTGTTGCGCTTCTGCGAACGTTTAGGGGTGGGTGCTTCCTCTCCACTTAGGCGTCCCTGCACCGTCACCAAGTTCAGCGACAAGTGTATGTAATAGATTGTACCATTTTGCTATGCGCCTTTTTTCCACGCGTGGTCAACAGAGAGGAGGGTATACCCAATGTAGAGAAAAAAGGGAACGAGACGGGGGTATATTTCAATACGATGGATGAGGCAGTGCCCACATGTCGATTAAAGTTACTTTTTCATCTATGATGCGCTTAAACGATAGTGACCAAAAAAAAAAAGAAGTTCCACGGGGGTGGCATTACTGGGACAGAATGTGCTGGGAGTCAATTTAGTGGGGAGAGGGGTTGGGTTCAGGCGACACTTTTCTTCCACCCTACAAATTATAACGCACCGGGAAAGGGCCCTCTGAAATGAAGGGAAAAATACTTCTTTTGCCCTCGGGAGTAAAAAAAAAAAAAAGAAAAAGCTGAGTGCGCGGAAAAGTTAGAGCAGCATGGAGTAAGCACATATATCTCCACTGCGCTGTGCGTAACATATGAGTAAAGGGCCCCCCCCCCCCGCCACGAAGCTCGCATATGCCCCTGCCTCAAAAGTGAGGAAAAACAAAAGGAGCGCTATTGTAGCCCTGGCTGAAAAAAAAACATCCAAACTTGACGAACTGCCATGACGAACTGCCATGACGAATTGCCAATCTGCGAAGTAGCCAAACGTACAACGCAAAAAAGAGAAGAGGCAAATCAAAGGAAAGCGAATCCAATGAAATAAAAACAAAACAACCAGGTCATCCTATCACCTTTCCCTTTCAAATCATTAACCCAGTTTTACCACTCCACGTAGAATTCGCTTTCTTTTTTTCTTCTTTTCCCCCCCTGTTACGCGCAAATAAACCCCGTGGATAAAATGTTGCCTCACCACAAGTACAGTTACATCCCCAAACAAAACAAGAAGCAGATTTATGAGTACTTATTTAAAGGTACGTAGGGTGAAGTATCGCTCACGCTGGGCACTGCCCAGTGATTTCCTGTGTGCCACGAGATTCATACCAGGACGCCTTCCTATACCATAACCCCTTCCTACTACAATGCCTTCTTACCACCGCCCCCCCTTCGCAGAGGGAGTCATCGTCGTGGAGAAGGACGCCAAGGTCCCGCGACACCCTCACCTCAATATGCCAAACCTTCACGTCATGATGACACTCAAGTCACTCAAGAGCAGGAATTACGTCGACGAGAAGTACAATTGGAAGCACCAGTACTTTATATTGAATAACGAGGGTAAGCTGCCCCGTGGAGTGACCTGAGGGGAAAGTTCATATCAGCGAATTGATTTGAAGTGGATTTCCCTGCGGAATCGGCTTGTCCCGATTCTTCACTGTACCCTGCTTCGCCATCAGAAGGGGGTCTCTTCCCCATCACAAATGTCTTGCTTCGCTATTACAAACGTGTTTCTCCCTCTCTGTAGGCATCGAATACCTAAGGGAGTTTCTGCACCTGCCGCCGTCCATCTTCCCAGCGACGCTGTCAAAGAAGGTCGTCAACCGGGCACCCAAGATGGAAGAGGAGTTTTCCAGAGAGCTGAGACAACCAATGGGAAGGGGTCGCTCGTACGACAAGAGAGCGTTTGAGTAGTCGTCTGCGCAGTGCTCCCGCGGAGTGGAGCGACGTCAAAGCGGCATGGAGTGAACTACATTTTACAATACATCACTACATATTACTGTATAGTACTATATATGGGTTGTACCTCATGCATCACTCATGGCACACCGCTCCCTCGTCTGCTTTTTTCCTTTTTTTTTTTTTTTCTCTCCCCCTTAAATTGTGCCATGCGTCAATACCCCCCTTGTCCAGGGGTGGAACTCTACTCCTCCTAAACAGCATCATCATGCTTGATTTTTGAAACGAAGAAAAAAAGAAAAATTACGAAGAAGAGTAAAAAAAAATATATCCTTAAAATTTGGTAACCGTATATGGGAGCAGCGGGTAGGACCTGCATTGGATGGAAAAAGAAAAAAAAAGTTACCTTGTGGAACAAAAAAAAAGAAAAAAAAAAAAAAAGATGGGGTAATCTTCTCTTTTCACGGAAGAAGCAGAGAAGAGGCCAGACGAAGCAGGACTGTGTGTGTGTGTCTGGAGTGCCGCTTCTCGGCAGTGCCGCTCCTCCGCAGCTTCACTTCTTCTTCTTCTTTTTCTTCTTCTTGCGCGACTGGGTATCATCGGCAGGGGTGGTTGTATCCCCTAGTGGTGACTCCGGCGTGGTTAGCCGGCCAGCGAGGATGTCCTCCCTACGACGTTTCCGCTTGAGATACTTGCCAGTGATCATTCGGTTAATCTTAGCATGAATGAGCTTGTAGTTCTCCTCCTTCTTCTTCACGTAATCTTTGAAGAAAGAAGGAAGCTCTATGTCATAGAATTTCATGAGACACTTTTTGGTCTTCTCCGAGAAGAGTCTCCTCTCTTTTTTGTAAGTGGCGTTTTGTGAGAGGAGGTTCTGTTTCATATTATTGTGATTAAGTGCCTCATGATAGCTCCTCTCAAATTCGCTCTTGTCGTATGATGCAAAGGCATCTTTAGCGCGTTCATTAAACATGAAGTAGATGTAATCTGGTCTGATCCCCTCAAGGAACTCTCTATTTTTAAGTTTCCTCATTATGGATTCTAATTTTAGGAAAGCATAATCACGGCTGAGTTTATCGGGACGTTTTTCTACATTGAGGAAGTCGAAAAACATTTTGAGTATCGCTGGATGGACCCCCTGATTACTTATTTCTCTGTTTACCCTCACCATAACGATTGGCATAGTTGTCTCATCTGGCTCTAGAATCTTCTGAACGCGCTCATGATCCGATTCAGGCGTTTCAGGGGATACCTCTTTCAAATTGCGTACCGCTATCCACTGCTGCCAGAGGAGTTCTTTCTCATACATGAAGACATCCGTGTACGATGGCATGAGAAATCTTCTTCGATACTCCACTCGGTAGCAAAATTCGTCGAAAGTCAGTTCAGGCTGATTCTTAAAAAGAGAGTCGATTAGAAGTCTAGGGGTTAGTGCGTGAGAGCATAGGTTGCGAAACGGGTCTCCTAGTCTGCCAATCAATTTTAGCAGTTCATACTTTACTGGATCAATAAGACCAAAGGGTAATTCCATTCCTTTTAGGAACTCTCCTTTCACTCTTCCCCTCAGCAACATGAATGGTTCCTTCTGTATCGTCTGTTCAGGGACAGGCAGCGATGTGTATGGATATCCTTCTAGTATGTCTTCTATCACTTTATACTTTGCTGAGCTTTTAAATTCAGCCCCTTTACTTAATTTTTTCTTCATTTTCTCTTCCTTCTTCTTCTTATTCACCACTATCTTGGTTTTGAGCTGGTTGGCTTTTTTCTGAGCCGGTTTGGACACGAACAGCCTCCAGGCGGGAGCGGCTGTCCTGTCAGTTGGCCGTTGGGTTGACCACCCGGTTGATCGCCCAGCCGGGGTGAAGCACGCGCAGTGATGCCTCCCGTCCAAGAGCAGCGCAACCGCGCCGGAGAGGACCAACACGGTGGAGCGGGAAGAGAACAGGGTGTGTCGCGGCACCAGGTGTGGAAGGAGCAACTGGCGCCGCATCGACTCGCGCAGCAGCAACACCGCCAGAGCGATGACTGCCGTCTCCACTAGCACCTCCATGCGGTCAAAGCTGCACCCGCGCGCGGCCCGCACATTCGTGCCCGCGCCTGTCCTCTCGCGCGGCCGTCGGGCATATTGCTAGCTTCACACCGTGGCATCATTCAGCCTGGGCAAACAGGGGTAAGAGGCGCCATGGGGCGAAGAAGTGGGCCAAAAAATGGGAAAAAAGAATGGCACAAAAAAATGGGAAAAAGGAATGACACAAAAAAAGGAGCAAAAGAATGGGCACAGGGCAGAAAGGGATATCTCACGGGCGGGGCAAAATTGGCAAAGCTGAAGCTGGGCCAGCTCAGTGATCTAAGCGTCGTCACCGCGAGAGAGCGAGCGGAGGAGGCCGACTGGGCTGGGCCGACCGCGCCCATTGGGATGACTCAGCCAAGTGGTCGCCCCAAAAATATAACTCCGTTCGGTATTTTATTTATTTATTTTTTCTTCTATTGTTAACTGGTCTTAAGAACAGCCCGCTGTGTGTGCTCACAGTCACTTGCCGTGGGTTCGATTTATTCCCACCCTTTCGGTACACAGTTGCGTGCACTGCTTCGGGGCGTATTGTTCCCTTTTTCGCGACAGCCCCAGGGGGGTGGTGGCGGAGTGGCACCTCGCCGCGTTGCCCCTTTGCCGCTTTGCCGCTTTGTAGCTTCTCTGCACGGCTTCACCCCTCCACCGATGAAGCGGGCTAACCAGGCGAACCAGGCGGACCACGTGAATCTGGGAGATTATGGAAAGGCCAAGGTGTACCTGTGGAAGACGGACCGAACGAGTGAGGAGCTGTTCCAAGAAGTCTCTAGCAAAGTGAGGAACCTATATGGGCAGATAAACTACGACGACCTGTTTCACCACTTGCACGGATACATTAATCATATTAACGCGAGCGACAATGAGTTGTTCCTTCGCAGCGAACTTCCCTTAGGTGAGTCTGCAGATAGCAAACACGCGGACACAGATCAGGAAGATGAAACCTTTTTCGACATTTTTAAAAATGCGAGTTATGTTCGCAGGAATGGCAGCCTCTCCATTAGCTACATCGATCTAGTTGAGAAGGCCCTGCCGGTAGACAGACTGAACTTCTTCTCCAATGTGTTTATATCGATTGGGGTCCACGAGCTGCGCGAGGGGGGGGTAGCCCCATCAGGGGGGGAGGCAGTCACAGGTGGGGAAGCAGCAAAAGGTGGGTTAACCCCTGATGGGGATGCTAATCCGTCCACTTCCCCCTCTGATCGGGATGCTAATCCATCCATTTCCCCCCCTGGTGACAGCTCCGCGCTGCACCGCATGAGGGAAAAAATGGTGCATCTAATCAACACCTACAATAATATCCATTTTCGAAACAGCTGTGTTTTTGTGCAACGGGTTCTGGTGATCCCGTCTTCGGACAAGTACGATGATTATATTATGTCTCAGATTATGAAGATAAATGAGAGCTTCCTTTATGCAAATGGGCCTGGCGGAGGCACCATTGGAGGTGACGTAAGCTGTGGTACTGGCGATGGGTACACCAAAGCCCCTCCGGAGGTAGACCGCTCAAAAGACGCAGTCACCGATCTGCAAGAAGAGAAAAAGAAAACGAACCCATGCGAGTATCTCAAGCAGGGAAATTTTTCCATGCTGAAGGACTCGCCATACTATTTGGAAGATAAAGAAAGGAACCTGACGGGTGGGAATTCCCTCGGTCGTGCAGTGACATCAGAGAATGTAGTGCCACGTATTGGTATTCTAGACAAGGGAGAAGAGGACAACGTAGCCGTTTACAGCCGCAAAGGAGCTGCTTCACACACTAGCGTTTCACCGATCAGCACGAAGGGGGACTCCGCGAGGGGGGGAGAGGACCACGAAAGGAAGATCGCCACCACGTCGGCAGTGACCTCTGCTGCGGGGTTGACGGTTACCCACTCCGCTGGTGCATCCGCCGTTGCATCCGCCGTTGCATCCGCCCCTGCATCCGCCGCTGCATCCTTCGTAGCGTCCTCCACCGCGGAAGGGGCAGGTGCCGCGCGCAGCAGCAGCGGGAAAAGCTTAAAAGAGAAGAAAAAGTATTCCTCCAATTTTTTAAGCATTTTCCATAAGGCGTCTTCGAAGGAGTACAAATCGGTTAACGTGCATTCGTCGAGTGCGGAGAGTGTCTCCTCCGATGACTGCCCTTTGGAGAGTCAGCTCTGGAGCCGCGGCGAGGGAAGTGGTACGGGAGGTGGTGAAGCCCATGGGGGAGGAACGCACCGTACACACATCGGCGCTGCGGAAGGTGCACCCAACGCGGAGATGGGTGAGAATAAGGAAGATAGGACGACATTACATGGAGAGAGGACAACCATACAGAGAAGCAGCGAAGCGATGCACGGGGGAAAGACTTCGACACACAGAACCAACACTGCGACACAAAGAACGAAGACTGCCACACACGTACCCATTTCCTTCATGTGCCGAAACTATCGCAACTTCAGAATCATTGTCTTCCTACCCTCAGTGAAAAAACACTTCAACATCCAGTACAATAAATTTTTCCAGGCAGTTCTCCTGAACGCCTTTTACATTTTTGCCTTTTCTTTACATAGCATGATGACTGAAGAGAGCGTGAGGAGGTACATGGAGGATCTTATGGAGAGTGCGAACTGCCACTCGGTTCGGACCGCCAAGGTGGGCAGCGAGAGTGTTCTGGATCGCCGCAGACCCAGGCACCAGGAGGGGGTCATCTCAGGGCCGTGCCGGCCGTTTGGGAAGGCTCCGAAGGGGGAAAAGTGGGAACAGGGCGAGAAAGGCACGACTGGCACGAATGTCACCAATGTGACGAATGCCACTCCTAGCCTGCCTGGTGCAGAGCGAAGGCTGCACCTGAAGAAGAGCCTAAGTAACAGGGACCTCTCTAGCAAGACCAACCTTAGCAGTCGCAAAAACAGCTACGACAATAATCTGTACGTCAATATAAAAAGGTACTACAACGATGTTAAGTGGAGCATTTTGAGCAAGACGAGTCAGAGGACAACCAAGGGGGGAGGCGAGGGGTTCCTCTATGAGGGGGCCCCCCGATTGTCCAAGTGTAGTGCGTACGAGGAGGGAAGGCTCCAGGGGAAGGACCCACACAATGTAGAGGCGCGATTGGGGGCAGAAGGGGAGGCAGCACCAGGGGAAGCGGCAGCAGGGAGGGCGGCAGCAGGGGAAGCGGCATCAGGGGAAGCGGCAGCAGGGGGGGCGGCAGCAGGGGGGGCGGCATCAGGGGAAGCGGCAGCAGGGGATGCGGCTTCTGATATGGCGCGCGGAGAAGAGACCGATGCAAACCCCTCAGAGAGACTCGATGGAGATCCCATCGGGGAGGGGGTGGTGTCTTTGGAAAGCGCCCAAGGAAGTGGAGGAGGTTCACCCAGTCGGCGTTCCGATGGGGGAGGGCGAGATGATGGGTATTTCCAGGAAGAGGAGAATTGCGGTGTGGATGGCGATCTGCATGACGGTCTGCATGACGGTCTGCATGACGGTGTGCCTGACAGTCTGCATGACGATGTGCAGAGCGACGACTACGGTGATGAGCAGAGTGACGACTACCATGATGAGCAAAGTGATGAGTGCAATGAGGACTGCGATGACGACTGCGATGACGACTGCGACGACTGGCATGACCACTGTGGTGATACGCATGAGGGCTTCCCCGCGGAGGACTCCCAGAGCGCAGAGGCGAACGAAGGAAGGGAACACCACAGCACGTGCCCGGGAAGGAGACAACACCACCCTCCACGAGGGGCACCAAAAAAAAAGAGGTCTCAAAGGAGCGACAAAGCAGCCATAGCAAAGAACAAAGAATACGAAATGAGAAAAAAAGAAGGAGATGTGTTTTTACTCCTGGGAAGCCCACTTGATTCAATGGAAATATACTTAGAGTGCTACCAAATGATTAGAGACGGAGGTAATGAAAATGAAGATCACCTGTCCGATGGCAACATCACATTCTGTATAGTCCTAAGCATGTACCTGTATGTCACACAGAACTGGGGTCACTTCTGCCGACTTAACAATAATGAAAGGTATACCTTCCGTTTTGCAGAGGTGGTTGAGAACTTGCTTCTTCAGACATATGAAAGGTTGCTTCCGAGTACGTTCACCAATTATGCCAACTTCTTCTTCGATGCTTCTTCCTACAGTGGGTCGGTGAAAGAGAGATCCTACCATCCCTATCATAACAATGGTCACTTTTCTCTGTACAGTTTCGACCATACAAGTGACTCTCCATCGGTAGGGATGATGAAGAATATAAGTTCCTTCCTTAACGTGGTGAATGATTACGATGGGGAGGACTACTCCGGGGATGAGTCAAACGAGAAAGACTTCTACTTCTTCAATGTAGATATTAAGGGACACAACACTCTGATTTATCTGATCGGTTTTATGGAGCACAAGTTAAGTGAGGCTTTGTCTGCCATGCGGAATGCATGTGTGATCTCGTCCGATGGAGAGTCCCACTCCACTGCTTCTTTACTCGCTGCACAAGAGCTCTTCGCCGATTACCTTCTATGCTATCTAAAGTATCTCCTAGCGATTAGAAAGCGGAGGCATATTTTTACCGCCATGAGAAAGTACTCCTCCGTAACTGAGCGGTTCAGTCATCATCTTTATGTCCGATTTTACGTCGAGTTGGCAAACATCTATCAACATATCGGGGCTAGACGAAAGTTTGCCTTTACCATTTATCTGCTCTGCACTCGGTTCTTTGAACAGAGGAAGTTCTACCTGACGTATGTCTTCTTGAATAGTCTGCTTCCGTTTTATGGCCTCCCTTGTGTGCAGGTCGATTTTGACTGCGGCAGATCGGAGGGGGGACCACTAACCGTACCCGGATCGACGGGACCGACGGGACCGACGGGATCAAAGGGGAAGGAGGAAGGGAGTCACCACCCGAACGATTTCCTAAATAGAGTCTTCGCCGGAAGAAGGTGCCACGTGAACTTCCCCATGCGATGGTTGAAGAGGGCACGAAGTGGGACGGGGCAGGAGCAGCAGAATCAGACGCGGCAGAATCAGACGCAGCAGAATCAGACGCGGCAGAATCAGACGCAGCAGAATCAGACGCGGCAGAATCAGACGCAGCAGAATCAGACGCAGCAGAATCAGACGCAACAGAATCAGACGCAACAGAATCAGACACAGCAGAATCAGACGCAACAGGAGAGGCCCAGCGAAGGCCCCCCCACAGTGTTACCATCCGAGCCAGACAGAGCAGCCTCACATGGAGGAGGTCATGCCGAAGAGAAGAACCAGGGGGACGTCCTACCAGCGGAAAACCATCGACACATGCACATCCTATTTAAGAGTGTGCTGGACGGGTCGAGAAACTACAACCTTAAACGTTTGCTATCATTCTGCTCGAGAGAGATTAGCATACGTAGCTTTTTCTGCCTGAACAAACATGGAGAGAAGTTAGAGATGTACAGAAAAAATAGGAAAGGACAGAACGGGAAGCTGCAGCATGGGGTATTGGCATTACTTAGTGAAGTCCTTGCACGACTTAATCTGCAGAGTGAATCCATCGTGTGTAATCTGCTGCTTCTCTTCTTCCTCGCGAAAGTGCTGAGGAGAGAGGTACAGAGGTTAATTCTGTGCAACATATATGAGACGCTTCGGAAAAGTCAGAGACACATTTGCTTTCCCCCTTTTGTTACTCTCGTCATGGATAAGAGGGAGAAGCGGAGGAGCAGATCCTACTTGAGGAGGCTGAGTCAGGGAGGGGACGTCTGCTTTGGCGGGGCAGCTCACCCACCACACGGACGTTACGCAATTGGAGCACATCACACACTACACGAAGATGGGGGGTGTCCTTGTGCAACCCTCTCGTGGGACAGCTCCTCTTCTGGGAGCTCCTCTCCCGAGGAGGACTCGTCCAGCAGCGACGCCGAGGGGAGAGGCTACGAAGGTGCGGGGAGAGGCTACGAAGGGGGAGGTAGAAGCTACGAAGGGGGAGGTAGAAGCTACGAAGGGGGAGGTAGAAGCTACGAAGGGGGAGGTGGACGCTACGAAGGTGG